CCCCCAAAACCCCAAAACCCCATTATCAAATTGGCTTTAATTATAGAGAATTAGAAATGAAATAATTTGCGATGAAAAAATATAGATTGAATATCGATCACTGTCTGTTATAGATACATTGAATTTTAATTATTAGAAGAATGTTAAATATGTATTGCTCACGCCATTGATGGTGTGGACTGCAAACAATACTTTTATCATGATGCTGATGGGGATATTGCTGCTCATAGTTGTGGAATCTTGATGCCTCTAGCTTCTGGGTGATAATCAAGATAGTTGATTCCTGAACCCTCAAGAGCTCCTTATTTCATTTTTAGGTAGTCGAAGGCGCAGACGGTGTCAATGTCTGGTCTGGCGGCAAGCTTCTCAAGGAGTTCCTTAGTGTTATAGAGATCGAAGATTTCCTTGACGCAGTAATAATGCTCTCTAACGTTGTTCTTGTGCTAGAAGACTCCAAGAGATTTGTAAATTTAATACTCCATACTAACCTAATTTTATTAATTATAAATAAGTTATTTGTAAATTAATTTATATCACTTGCAATAAATCAATTGAATTAACAAAAGTCATTTCAATTTCTATACATAGGATTTCAAATATAAAACTTCTCAGACAAATTTCGACTAGTTTCATACTCACATAGCTAGATTTGCTCTCAGACTTATAGAGTCATTGCTCTTGTAAGACTAGAATTAGGGCACTGGCTTTGCTTATTGAAATGACTGATTTTATGACACATTTGAGGTATAGTGATTTTATTGCAATGATTGAGGAAATGGATAAGACCTTGGCTTCAGTTCATCATCCCCTCTATGTATCATAGAATTTCCAACATTTTGCTTTGATTAGTAATTCATGTTATTAATGTTTTCTTACATGACTTAACCAGAGTAAAGTTAAGTCATAGGATTATAACTGCTGAAAGTTTGTTCCTAAACAGGTTTTTATCCGCCGTTCATCGTTGATGGAAGAGATTATTTGGAGTTTTAATAGATCTCTTGGACACTGTTTGTCCCTTGAATAATTTTATCAATCTCTTGTTGAGTATTCATAAGCATATCTCTCATTCTAGCGAATTCCTAGTCTTCTTCATCATCATCTTAAACTACATTTTACTGATAATAAGGTTAAACTTAGGGCTGTTAACAATGGTAATTCTGGTTTTAAAGCTGTTAAGATTAAACAGGGTTATTGAATTATATTGGCTAAAAATGAGGAGCGGATAGGCTTTGCATTGGTTACTTGGTGAACTGTTATTGAGAGTATTACTAGATGTTTTGATAAAGCTATTATGCTAAAGGTTGTTAATTTTATACTTGATTGAATTATATATTGCTTTATTAAGGGTAGTTTTGCCCTGATAAAATTTATTGAGGAGTAAGAAGTACTTTTTATTGATTAAACTATGGCTCATAATCCTAAGATAACGGTGCTTAACTTAGCTGATAACCCTAATTCTGAGGTGTTGGTTATGCAATTGGAATTCTTAGTTAGTCTTCAAATTTAGGTGGAGGTGGGAAGTTAAATAATTCTTAATAATTAGGAAGTAGGCTTCTAGGACTGTCCATTATACTTTAATTATATTTTATTGGGGTAATAGAATAGCCACTTTAGGTTTCAAACTAATTATCTTTCTATTGCTAAGTTTATTATTTGTTAGCACCAGCCCCTAGCAATAAATTGAGATTCTAGAAGCAACTATCTAAATCATCTAAGGGCTATTTAGTTAAGGTTGTTTGCTTTTATTCAAGTTCTCCGTAAATTTATTAAATCATTGGAGCTTAATAAGCTTATTCTTTAGGCTCATTACTTAAATAATTTGAATAGAGAGACATATTCTATGTTCTCAACTTTTCTAGCCTCTATTCATTTACTCTATAATCTAGATAGTCAAAGTCCTCAGGCTATTCTTCTTTTTATTATGGTTTAGTTTGATAAGTAGAAAATGTGGGATTATTCTATGGATATCCATTGTTGACAGTGGGTTAATATGAAAATATCTGATTAACTTCTTATGATAGTGCTTGATTTTAAAATAAAGTATTTGGAAGACTTTAGACAATCTGAGATTATTATCTCTAAAGGTAAGCTTAATTATTTTAACTCTATGTTTCATTATTGAACTATATGGAGAAGTTTGTTGGATTGAACCTAGAGTCTGCATTAATAAGACCTTCTAAATCTTTAGAAAAGTCTTGTTGAGATTGACTCTGATTCAAAATTTATCGAGCAGCAGCAGTATTATTAGCCTAACAATGAGTTTGATTTATACTTTACTGAGCATAGGTGATTTTTATCTCAGTAGTCTCTCTTTTAACTTTGATTTCATCTTCCATTTCCTATTAAAGCCTACTTTCTTCTAATTCTCTTTATTTCTACTGCTTTTGATGAAGGCTAGTTTGCGACACATAGCTTCTATTTTCATATTATCTTTTTAAGTCTTTGTTAGTAATAAATGCTTCATTTGCTACAAATTTCTTCTCACCCTTTTAAGCAAATGGTTTGTATTCATCAGGAATCTTTCCTTGCTTTAGTTTTTCATATTTAGCCTAGAGTTCTTCTTTCGCTGCTTATTCATTCTTAGATTTGGCGTTTAATTTTCTCTATAATACTTCTGCTCTTGAGATCTTATGGGGATTTTCAGCCAAGCAATCATTCCATTCAGGCTTTGGTTTTGGTGTTGGTGCATCTGGTTTCTATGTTTACTTTATAAAGGGTTTAGATCTTGGGTAGTTCTCATTAGTTCTAGCTGCAGAAAAGGGTCTTTGCTTATTCATTTTTATCGTTTGGAGGTATTATAATTCTTGTTTAAATTTAAATTTATACCAAAACTTCAACTAGCATATTTCAAAGAATGGGGTTTTGGGGTTTTGGGGTTTTGGGG